CGCACCCCGGACTCCTCAATATCCCAAGTAAGAACGCTCACCAGGGACATCCAGCGCCCGTCGCCCTGCACGTCCTGCACCGGCGTGGGCTTGCTGGCTGGGTTCTCCTCTCCGCTCATCTTGGCGCCGCAGCTCCTGCAGGATGAGCGAGTGGGGTCGACCCGGGAGTCTTCTGGACCGAGCTGGCTCCGCCACGCCCACTTCTACCCTTCTAGGCAACAAAGGACCGTCCCAACGCTCGCACACCCGCGGAGGACGAAGGCCGATACAGGGCGCCGCCTCCTCTCCAGGGACTGAAACCTTCACTCAGAAGGGAGGCGGAATCGGGAACCCTCGTTTCCCCCACGACGGCCGCACAGTGGGCTCGTCCGGCGTTTCCCGCTCGGGCCGCTGACTCCCGGGCAGCGCACCCGGCACGGGCTGGTGGGAGAGAGAGGCGAGACCATCCAGCTCCCAAAGCGGGGAGGAGGGAGAAACCACCCACCGGTCACGGGGAGGGGCAAGCTACCTGATGAGTCGAGAGTGGGCGGGGAAAACCTAGCCGTCTTTCTAGCAAATGGGAAGATACCATTTGCTGTAGAGAGTGAAATGTGCGGAAGGGACCACCTACTGTTGCGGAGAGGGGGAGCGGGCGGGTGGCCCATTCACTTGGTGGGGTGAGGGGAGCGAGTGGACGAGTCCATTCTTGGATCCCTTGAAGGGGTGGCTCGAATGCAACTGGCTAGGAGGAGACGCTCCCATTTTCTACTGGTGCGGGGGACAGAAAAGGAAGATGGCAAAATGTGAAAATTCAAGGCTCCGTTCTAAGGAGCCATCCTAAGGCAGCGCTAGGTCTTTATTGAGCCTGTCTCCCAGTGGGCTTCCCCTTACTCACAACACCGTGTGTGTGTGTGTGTGTGTGTGTTGAAATCTAAAGTACTAATCTTCGCATTCAAGACATCACAGGACCCCTACTCAAAACACCATGTGTGTGTGCGCGCGGGCGCGCGGAATAAAATATAAACTATGAAATCTTTGCATTCAAGACACCATAGGACCTGCGTGGAGGGTAGAAGAAGATGCAGAAGGAGAAAGGAAATTAGAGACGCCTGCAGGGCTCAGGTCCAGTCTGGCGCCCTTCCCGCAGATCATCTTGCAGATCTGCAGTCTCTACTCCCCTCTCTAAACCCACAGGCCGACCGGGTATGTCTCTGCTCTGAAACCTACATCCACAGCCAAGGCATCTGGGGTCGCGCCTCTTCCCCTACGCCACCCCAAATTAATCTCAGACTTCGGTGTCTTCTTAGATCTCCCTCTTCTCTGGGACCAAGTCGGGGGTCTCCCAGCTAAATGTCCTGGTCATGTTCTTGTAGCCCCACTCCAGGTGGGACCTTCTCATTATTCATTCCTTCGAGGTGGATTGATACTGAGACATAGAGATGAGTCTTACTCTTTTTTTTTGAGATGGAGTTTCGCTCATTACCCAGGCTGGAGTGCAATGGCGCGATCTCGGCTCACCGCAACCTCCGCCTCCTGGATTCAGGCAATTCTCCTGCCTCAGCCTCCTGAGTGGCTGGGATTACAGGCACGCGCCACCATGCCCAGCTAATTTTTTGTATTTTTAGTAGAGATGGCGTTTCACCGTGTTGACCAGGATGGTCTCGATCTCTTGACCTCGTGATCCACCCGCCTCAGCCTCCCAAAGTGCTGGGATTACAGGCGTGAGCCACTGCGCCCAGCTGAGTCTTACTCATTGTGTTTATGTTCTGTTTCAATCCACTTTTCTGGGACCGGGTGGGCACACAGTGGTTCCATAAGCACTTGCTGAATGAATAGTAAATGAGTCGGTCAGCTCCTGGCCTCGTCCCAGTGTGTTCAGGGAGACAGATCCACGCACAGAGGTGTGGGGGTGTCAAAGTTGTGTTTGAGGGAGAGACAGGGTCTTCTGGGGAGGAGGAGGAGAAGGACTCTAAGGACTATGGGTTTCCTAGGAGTAGTATCTCTGCTGGCTCTGAAAGATAATGAAGACTGAACAAGCAGAAAGAAAAGATACAGGTAACCACTTTCTTATTAGGGCCTGGGGAATATCATGGAAGAGCTTGATTTTAAAGTCTGAGGAAACCGGCGAGGTGGTTTATGCCTGTAATCCCAACACTTTGGGAGGCCAACACGGGCAGATCACTTGAGGTCAACCAGCCTGGCCAACAGGGCAAAACCCTGTCTCTACTAAAAAAAAAAAAAAAAAAAAAAAAAAAAAAGCTGGGTGTGGTGGCACAAGCGTGTTGTCCCAGCTAATTGGGAGGCTGAGGCCGGAGAATCGCTTGAGTCCGGTAGGCAGAGGTTGCAATGAGTCGAGATCTAGCCACTGCAGCCCAGACTGGGTGACACCGTGAGACTCTGTCTTAATTACAAAAATAAAGTCTGAGGGGGCCAGGTGCAGGGATGCATGCCTGCAGTCTCAGCTACTGGGGAGCCTGAGGTGGGAGGATCGCTTGAGCCTAGGAGTTTGAGACCAGCCTGGGTAACAGTGAGACCCTGTCTCAAAAAACAAAACAAAAGTCAGGCAAGAGCCTGTAGTCCCAGTTACTAGGAAAACTGAGGCGGGAGGATTGCTTGAGCCTGGGAGATAAGGCAGCATTGGGCCATGATTGTGTCAGTGCACTCAAGGTTGGGTGACAGAGTAGTCTCTGTCTCCAAAAAAGAAGTCATAATCGGCTAGGTGCAGTGTGGCTAACTCCAGCAATCCCAGCACTTAGGGAGGCTGAGATGGGCAGATCACTTGAGGTCAGGAGTTCAAGACCAGCCTGACCAACATAGTGAAACCCCATCTCTATTTAAAAATACAAAACTTAGCCAGGCATGGTGGTCTGCACTTGTAGTCCCAGCTACCTGGGAGGCTGAGGCAGGAGCATCACTTAAACCCGGGAGGTGGAGGTTGCAGTTAGCTGAGATTGTGCCACTGCACTCCAGCCTGGGTGACAGATTGAGTCTTCATCTCAAAAAAAGAAAAAAAGGAAGGGAAAGAAAAAAGTCATAATTATGCCTTCACGTTAGTGGTATAACGAGAGAGAAAAGAATTTTTTTTTTTTGAGACGGGAGTTTCGCTCTTGTTACCCAGGCTGGAGTGCAATGGCGTGATCTCGGCTCACTGAAACCTCCGCCTCCTGGGTTCAGGCAATTCTCCTGCCTCAGCCTCCTGAGTAGCTGGGACTACAGGCATGTGCCACCATGCCCAGCTAAGTTTTTGTATTTTTAGTAGAGACCGGGTTTTACCATGTTGACCAGGATGGTCTCAATCTCTTGACCTCGTGATCCACCCACCTCGGCCTCCCAAAGTGCTGGGATTACAGGCTTGAGCCACCACGCCCGGCCCCAATCTCATTTTTATAGGTCAGAAAACTAAGTCTGACCAGTTACAAATATTTTCAAGGTCACACAGCCCAACTGTGACATTTTGGGCATTTAAATCAAGCCTAGCTATGAATCACAACAGTATACTATTTTTTTTTTAGATGGAGTCTTACTTTGTCGCCCAGGCTGGAGTGCAGTGGTGAAATCTAGGCTCACTGCGACCTCCACCTCCCTGGTTCAAGCAATTCTCCTGCCTCACCCTCCTGAGTCACTAGGATTATAGTCGTGAGCCATTTTGCCCGGCCTAATTTTTTTTTTTTTTTTTTAACTCAGACAGGATCTTGCCCTCTCCCTCAGGCTGGAGTGCAGGGGCGTGATCACGGCTCACTGCTGCCTCAACCTCCTAGGCTTAAGCGATCCTCCTGCCACAGCCTCCCAAGTAGCTGGCACCACAGGCACGAACCATTGCGCCCAGCATATTTATTAATGTATTTATTTTCTGAGACAGAGTCATGCTTTGTCACCCAGGCTGGAGTGCAATGAGGCAATCTTGGCTCACTGCAGTCTTCGCTTCCTGGATTCAAGCGATTCTCCTGGCTCAGCCTCCCCAGTAGCTGGGACTACAGGTGCGCACCACCATGCCTGGTTAATTTTAGTGGAGACAGGGTTTCACCATATTGGGCAGGCTGGTCTTAAACTCCTGATCTTGTGATCCGCCTGTCTCAGCCTCCCAAAGTGCTGGGGTTACAGGCGTGAGCCACTGCGCCTGGCCTACTAATTAATTTTTTGTTGTCAGGGTCTTCTATGTTGTCCAGGGCGGTCTTGAACTCTTGGACTCAAGTGAGCCTCCCGCCTCTGCCTCCCAAAGTGCTGGGATTACAGGAGTGAGCCACCACAGCCGGCCAACTGTATAAATTTTCTAGGGATTATGTCTGTGGCTGCCTGGGGGATAGCTGTGCGTGGGGGCTACCAGGACCCTTCTGCTTGGCGCGCCTGGTCACAACTAGCCCTCGAAAGACCGCCAATAGCTATCTGAACCAATCAGTATTCAGGAAGGGGACAGACCTAGTGAACCTCACAGCCAATTGGTGGGTGGGAGGTGCTAAGAACAAGAAAGGGAGATTTCTGAAAGCGAGGCTAAGAGGGGCGGGGCTATAACTGGCACTTCTCTAGCACGCGCCTCTGGGCTTCCGTCCTCTCAGAGCTACGAAGCCAAAGGGTATGGAAACGGCACGCGCATGCGTGTGGGGTGCCCGAGGCCTGGAACAGCGCCAGGTGGCTTAGAGAGCTGGGGTCACGGCAGAAAAGAAGCCATTGCGCCCCACGGCTGCGTGGAGTGGGAAGAACCGGGGTTCGTTGGGGCAGGAGAGGTGCCCTTCCCTACCCTGCTTCCACCAACCAGACCCCACTCCCTTCACTCTGCCCCCCCCCCCGCCCCCCACACTACCGTCGCACCCACTGTGCTTCCTCTACTACCCTAGGCACTTCCTTGGTGACAAGGCCCTGTCTCTGATCGGGCCTGTCTCCCCTTCTGTTCTCTTGAGGTTTTCTCAGTCTTTCCAGACTTCTCTTGCTGCTCTCCCTCTTCTGCTTTTCTTTCTCTGCCATCTCTTTCCACTTTCTGCATTCCTGTGTACCTCTTCTATCCCTGGATTTCTCCGTCCAGAATCATTTTCTGGTCCGCCAAATCCCTCCAGTTCCATGACTCCTTCCCCACCCTCCATCTTTTCTTTTTTTAAAGACAGAGTCTCGTTCTGCCCCCTAGACTGGGATGGAGTACAGTGGCGCGATCTCGGCTCACGAAACCTCTGCCTCCAGGTTCAAGTGATTCTCCTGCCTCAGCCTCCTGAGTAGGTGGGATTACAGGCATTCACCACCACGCCCGGCTAATTTTTGTATTTTTAGTAGAGGCGGGGTTTCACCATGTTGGGCAGGCTGGTCTTAAACTTTTTTTTTTTTTGAGACGGTGTTCCGCTCTTGTTACATAGGCTGGAGTGCCATGGCGGGATCTCGGCTCACCACATCTGCCTCCTGGGTTCAGGCAATTCTCCTGCCCCAGCCTCCTGAGTAGCTGGGATTACAGGCACGCGCCACCATGCCCAGCTAAATTTTTGTATTTTTAGTAGAGATGGAGTTTCACCATGTTGACCAAGATGGTCTCGATCTCTTGACCTCGTGACCCACCTGCCTCGGCCTCCCAAAGTGCTGGGATTACAGGTGTGAGCCACTGCGCCAGGCCTCCACCCTCCATCTTTTAACTATTTTACCATGTCCCTGTTCCCAATAACTTTTCTGTATTCCCTGGCTTATCTTCCCATTAACTGTGACTCCTTTGTCTCCATCCCACCCCTGTGATTCCCTATCTGACCAAACCTTTCCCAGTCTTTCTCTGCTCATTTCTTTTCTCTTATCATCCTTTCTGTCTTTTAAGAGACAAGGTCTAACTGTTGCCCAGGCTGGAGCACAGCGGTGCAATCATAGCTCAGTGTAACCTCTAACTCCTGGGCTCAAACAATCCTTTCACCTCAGCCTCCCTAATAGCTGGGACTACAGGTGTGGGCCACTGTATCCAGCTAATTTTTCTTTCTTTTTTTTTTTTTTTTTGAGACAGAGTCTCTGTCGTCCAGGTTGGAGTACAGTGGCACGATCTCAGATCACTGTAACCTCCGTCTCCTGGGTTCAAGCGATTCTCCTGCCTCAGCCTTCCGAGTAGCTGGGATTACAGGTGGACACCACCAAACCCAGCTAATTTTTGTATTTTTAGTAGAGATGGCCACTCACCTTGGCCTCTCAAAGTGCTGGGATTACAGATGTGAGCCACTACACCCAGCTAATTTTATTTTGTAGAGATGAGGGTCTTGCTTTGCAGCTCAGGTTGGTCTTGAACTCCTGGCCTCAAGTGATACTCAACTGAGTCTCTCTCAGTTGCCCAGACTGGAGTGCAGTGGTGCAGTCTTGATTCACTGCAACCTCTGCCTCCTAGGTTCAAGTGATTCAAGTGATTCTCCTGCCTCAGCCTCCTGAGGAGCTGGGATTACAGGTGTGCCCCGCCATGCCCAGCCAATTTTTGTGTTTTTAGTAAAGACAGGTTTTGCCAGGTTGGCTAGGCTGGTCTTGAACTCCTGACCTGAAGTGATCTGCCCATCTTGGCCTGCTCAAGTGTTATTATTACAGGCATGAGCAACTGCGCCCGGCCCTCCCTATTCACGTTGCTACTCACCCTGACTTATCTGCATGCTGATGGCCATCCTATCTGTATCTTTCAGGACACCATGGATACCCGGGGACCAATCTTCCAGCCTTTCCAGCGGCCTGAGAAACCTGGTCGTGTCCGCCGTCGGAAGACTAGGCGGGAACGTAACAAGGCCCTGCTGGGCAGCCGCCGGCCATTAGCCCATCATGATCCTCCTGTGGCCATTCAGGATCCACCTGTGGACCCTACTGCCTCCAAGCTCGTGGTCATAACCCAGGGCCGGCTGAGCCGGGAGCACCGGGGTCTCTTCAACCACGAGGTGAAATCCCTAGATGTTGGAAGGCTGCTTAGCAGTGGAACCCTGGCACCGGGCAGCCCCACACTCTCTGCCAAGCCCTCCCCAAGCCCAGGGAGGGCCCAGAAGCCAATCTCACAGTCCAGGGACAAAGAGAACCAGGTTCCTGGAGGTTCAGGCCCAGGCCCACCCAGTTCCCCAGAGTTGCCTAGCATGGGGCAACTGCTGGCAGAGCTGCAGTGCCAGCTGAGTTTGCCACAGGCCTTCCCCCGGAGGAACCTAGTTCAGGATGCCAGGGATGCCATCGTGCACACCTTGCAGGCCTGCCATGGTTGTGTGCCTGACCTTGCCCTGGTGCTCCAGGGCTGCCAGCCACCCTTGCCAGGTGAGCCTCCCTCTTTCCCCTGCACTCCCCTTTCCTTTGTCTGCTCTAGCTCACCTGGCCTCTATGCTTCTTTCCTTTGTACCAGGGGCCAAGCCTGGGGGCTCTGAGAGAAGGATGACACCCTTCTGGATCAATATCCCTGATCAAGTCCCAGAGGAAGAGAGGCAAAGGAAGCAACAAGGGACAAAAGAGTTTACCTTCCCCATGCCCCCCTCCTCCAGCGTGCCCACTGTGCATAGGGAGAGCCTGGCACCGTCAAGAGGTCCCTGGCCACCCCCTTTGCCCTCACTGTCTTCACCATCTGGGGCAGCCTTGGGTCCCCCAACAGCATTTGACTTGCTAAAAAGCATCTGGCTGGTAGCCACGCCACCCCCTCCTCAGCCCTGGGGGATTGGAACCCCTCAGCCCATGCCTCAGCCTTCATCACCCCTGTTGCCCCGGACCTCTGTCCTGGACTGGAGCCCCAGCCCCCCTGCCCCGCTGCCCAGTCTCTCCTGGGTAGTGGCCCGGAACAGTCCGGAAGCCTGGTCTTTTCCACCTATGAGACTGTATTGAGGAGGGGTTGAGGCTAGGGCTAGGGACGGATATCTTGTACTCCCAGTGACCTCAATAAAGTAATTCTGTGGTCCTCTTGATTTTCAGTGAGTCACTGACCCAGGAGAGCAGCTTTCCTTAGCTCTGAGTTCTAGGTCCAAGGTGGAAGGGAAGGTCACTTGTTACCTTCACAGAGCTTGAGGAGCCAGTGTGATGGGGAAAACTTGGGACTTCAGTTAGTCCAACACATAGGTACACTGTGGCTAACCCTGTACCTGACCTTGAGTGCTGGTGATCCTGGGGCCCCAGAATGAGTGAGACCAAGGCCTTGTCCTCATGAGGCTCCCAGTTTGGTGGTGGGCATACACAACCTCAGCTCCAATGGTTGTGTCTAGGAGAGTGAGAGAGATGCAGGGGCTGGGTCAGTCCAAGGAGGGAGTAATGACTGCCCTAGTGAGGAGGGAATTCTTCATAGAAGAGCTGACATGGACTTCCTTCCCTTTTCCCTTCCCTTCCCTCCCCTCCCCTCCCCTTCCTTTCCTTTTTTCTTTTTCTTTTCTGGCAGAGTCTAGCTCTGTCGCCCAGGCTGGAGTGCAGTGGCGCACGCAATTTTGGCTCACTTCAACCTCTGCCTCCCAGGTTCAAGCAATTCTCCTGCCTCAGCCTCCTGAGTAGCTGGGATTACAGGCACTCACCACCACGCCCAGATAATTTTTGCGTTTTTGGTAGAGATGGGGTTTCACTGTATTGGCTAGGCTGATTTTGAACTTCTGACCTCGTAATCCTCCTGCCTCGGCCTCCCAAAGTGCTGGGATTACAAACATGAGCCGCTGTGCCTGACCATTCTTTTCTTTTCTTTCTATTTTTTTTTTCTTTTTTGAGACAGTCTCGCTCTGTCACCCAGGCTGGAGTGCAGTGGGCGTGATCTCAGCTCACTGCAACCTCCACCTCCTGGATTCAAGATTCTAGAGTTTCTTCTGCCTCAGCCTCCTCAGTAGCTGGGATTACAGGTGCACGCCACCACACTCGGCTAATTTTTGTATATTTAGTAAAGACAAAATTGCCTACTGTTATGAACCAGGGTTTCACCATGTTCATCAGACTAGTCTTGAACTCCTGACCTGGTGATCTGACCACCCTTTTTTGGAGTACAATGGCACAGTCTTGGCTCACTGCAGCCTCTGCTTCCCAGGTTCAAACGATTCTCCTGCCTTAGCCTCTGAAGGAGCTAAGATTACAGGTGTGCGCCACCATACCCTGATTTTTGTATTTTTAGTAGAGATGGGGTTTCACCATGTTGGCCAGGCTGGCCTCGAACTCCTGATCTCAAGTGATCCTCCCTCCTTGGCCTCCCAAAGTGCTGCAATTACAGGCATGAGCTACCGTGTTCTGCCAACCCTGTATTTTTCAAGGTTGGTGGAAACTTGCCACTTGAGGAAAAGAACATTTCAGCCAAGGGGAACAGCATGTGCAAGTCCTGGAGGAGGGCACATGGCAGATGTAGGGCCATTTTCACTCAGCAAATCCCTAGGCCATGCTGGGACCTAGAGTAAGCCACGTCTGGGCCTGCCCTTGAGCACCTCCTGGCCTGTAAGCACAGGGAACAGTGTATGTGCAGGCTCAGGGCAGGAGTGGCAGATCAGGGCTGAATCTGGCCCACAGGCTTTTTTCATTTCACCCACGATATGTTTTAAATGTTTGAATCAATTGCCTACTGTTATAAACCAGGCAGTTTGCTTTTTTTTTTTTTTTTTAATTGCATTTCTGGCTTCTCTTAGAAAGAAAGAAAAAAAGAATCTGGCAGCAGAACTACAATCCTTCCTGGCAACCACTGGCCAAGTTGCACAGGCCTCCTCTGTGGGATCCACGCTCTACATTAAAAATGTTTCACTTATATTTCCAGCTTGGCCCCTTGGCTCAGAATTTTTTCTTAAAATGGTATTTTGAGCAGCCCCCAGTTTTCTGCAGTGGAGAGGGATGAAGCTAGAGATGTTTGTTGGAGTCTGATCAGGGAAATCAAGGGGAAGGGCGTGGCCTCTACTCCAAAAAGTCTTTCTAGGGCTTGCTGTTGTCCTATCAACCATAGGGTTGATACCCGCATAGAGGGGACTGGACTGGGAGATCACAGGGCTGAATGACTGGGCCCAGGTCTTATGGTGGACAAGTGTCAAAGGAGGGACCAGGCTGGGATTTGAATGAACCCAAGTAAGTAATTTCAACTTGGATTTGAAACATACGTTTGGATATCTCACACTACCACCTCTGCGTCTCACAGCAACCCAGTTTCACAGCATGGTAAGCAGTGACAGGTCATGGGCAGGCAGAAGACGGGTACAGTGGTTATAGTGAGGGCTCCACCACCACCATGTGGTGTAACTCAGAACGAGTGGCTTGCCCTCTCTGTGCCTCTGCGAGCACTTTGCAGGGTGCATCAGATCTAGAACGCTGGCAACTCCAGGATGGACACAGCTTGGGGGTGTAGTAGAGGTGGGGATGAGCAGTCAAATAGTTGGCCGGGCATGGTAGCTCACACCTGTAATCCTAGCACTTTGGGAGGCTGAGGCAGGTGGATCACCTGAGGTCAGGAGTTTGAGACCAGCCTGGCCAACATGGTGAAACCCCATCTGTCCTAAAAATACAAAAAAATTAGCCAGCTGTGGTGATGGGCGCCTGTAATCCCAGCTACTCAGGAAGCCGAGGCAGGATAATCGCTTGAACCTGAGAGGCAGAGGTTGCAGTGGACCGAGATGGCGCCACTGCACTCTAGCCAGGGTGACAGAGTAAGACTCCATCTCAAAAAACCAAACCAAAACAAAGCAAAACTGGCCGGGCGTGGTGGCTAACGCCTGTAATCCCAGCAGTTTGGGAGGCCCAGGCATTCGGATCACGAGGTGAAGAGATCGAGACCGTCTTGGCTAACACGGTGAAAACCTGTCTTTACTAAAAATACAAAAATTAGCTGGGCGTGGTGGTGCATGCCTGAAGTTCCAGCTCCTTCGGAGGCTGAGGCGGGAGAATCGCTTGAACCCGGGAGGCAGAGTTTGCAGTAAGCCGAGATCTCGCCTGCACTCCAACCTGGGCGACAGACAGAGACTCCGCCTCAAAAAAAAAAAAAATAAAAAAAAAATTATAGTTTGGGGACTACAATGCGGGGAGGCCAGGACAGAGCATAGGTCTAGGGTTCTGGAGAAGGCAGTCTGGAGGAGGCTTGGCTTTGGAAGACGTGAGTTCAATTTAGGACATGGGGAACCATAGGTATCTACGAGACTCCAGGAGGGGAGGGCTGGGGAGGCGTGACAGAGGATGAGCGTCCCCCTCTCACGCGGAGAATGTGGGAGCCAGGTTGGGTCCTCCTAGAGAAGGGGGCGGGGAGCGCGGCACCCAGCGGCCCCTTTAATCGGGGGCGCGCGCTGGCCGGCCCGCGCGTTCTCGCCTCCGTCGCCGGGCCGGAGCGGGAGCAGGAGCGGAGCCGGGGCTGGAGCTGGCGGAATGGAGACCCCGCGCGCGCCCGCGCTGCGCCGCCTGCTGCCGCCGCTGCTGCTCCTGCTGTTGTCACTGCCCCCCCGCGCCCGGGCCAAGTACGTGCGGGGCAACCTTAGCTCCAAGGAGGTGAGCACGCCGAGCCCTCCCCTGCCTCCCGCCCGCCCTCGGGGGACTCGAGGGAGGCGAGGGAAGCGGGTACCACCCCGCCCCCTGCCGCCCCTCCTGGCGGACCCCGGAGCTTTGGGGAAATGGGGCCGAGGGCGATGTGGGACTGGGCCAGAGTCGAGGCTGAGGGACCGGTGGGGTCACGGCCAGACCTGGGGGTTGTAGGAGGGACGTTGAGGTCAGAGCTGAGCAGGCGGGGAGAGCGGATTGGGAGAGTCAGAGTTTGGGAAGGGGGGTGGCGCAGAGGTGGTGCTGAAGGGACAGCACTTTTCACTCAACAGAGAGCCCCGAGCTGAACGAGCTCACCGCCACACTCCCGCTCAGGACCGGGAGGGGGCAGTTTGGAAGATTCCCCTGCGCGGGATGGTCTTTGGGAACAAGGGGTGGGATGCGGAGGAGTGTGGATATTGGGGGAACGGGGTCAGATGGTGGCCAGGACACGAGGTGGCCAGGATAGGCATCTGGCCCCCAGGGTCTTTCTGGGGGCTCCCGGGAAATGTGGGGAGGAGCATTTGAGAGGAGGGAAGGAAACTTGAGGGGGCAATGGAGGGAGAAAATCAGGGCGGCAGGAATCCTGGACCCACAGTGGAAGGATTTTGGAGGTGACCTGGTCTCCTTCTAGTACTTGGGAAGCCAGGTCCCTGAGGGGTAGGGAAGAAAAGTTGGGAGTCTATGGAGTAGACAGTTCTTGAAGGACTCAGCAGAGGGTCGGATTGGGCCCCTTTTCAGGACTGGGTGTTCCTGACAAGATTTTGTTTCCTCTCGGATTACGGCCGACTGGACTTCCGTTTCCGCTACCCTGAGGTGAGTCTCCCCCAACACTTGCTGTGCCGAGGCTGGATACTCCCTTGGCCTCCAAAGGCACAGACTGCCCCAGCTCCCGGCCCCCAACTTCTCTGATCTGCAGGCCAAGTGCTGTCAGAACATCCTCCTCTATTTTGATGACCCATCCCAGTGGCCAGCTGTGTACAAGTCAGGGGACAAGGTGAGGACTGTGAAGAGGACGTAGAGGGTGAGGGGAGAAGGTCATGGCTGGCCGAGGAGTGACCCTGTCCCTGCCTTCCCCAGGACTGCCTGGCCAAGGAGTCAGTGATCCGGCCAGAGAACAACCAGGTCATCAACCTCACCACACAGTATGCCTGGTCCGGCTGTCAGGTGAGGGCCCAGCCTGAGGGAGTGGGCAGGTGCTGAAGGTTGAGGACTTGGGGGCATCGAGGACATACTTCAGCTTTCTTGCTTGTCCCCAGGTGGTGTCAGAGGAGGGAACCCGCTACCTGAGCTGTTCCAGTGGCCGCAGCTTCCGCTCAGTGCGTGAAAGGTGGTGGTATATTGCACTCAGCAAGTGTGGGGTAAGGGGCTGGGGTGGCCACCTGGGCCACCTTCTCTTTGCCTTCCTGCCAACCCTAACCTGCCCAGGGCCCCCCCTTAGGCCTCCCTACTTCCCACAGGGAGATGGACTGCAGCTGGAGTATGAGATGGTCCTCACCAATGGCAAGTCCTTCTGGACACGACACTTCTCGGCTGATGAGTTTGGTGAGCACGTGGGGACCCAAAAGCCAGGCTCTCCTTGGCCCACCAGAGCTGGGTGCCCACTGAGGGGACAGCCATCTGAATGAACCTTACTTCTCCTACCAAATCGGCAGGGATTCTGGAGACAGATGTGACCTTCCTCCTCATCTTCATCCTCATCTTCTTCCTCTCTTGTTACTTTGGATGTGAGTCTGGCACATGGGGTGTGGGGGAGGAGATAGAAGGGAGCAGGGTGGGGAGGTGAGCTGCTCTCCTTTTCTGCCTGTGGACAACCTTTCCCTATCCTGCTTCCTAGATTTGCTGAAAGGTCGTCAGTTGCTCCACACAACTTATAAAATGTTCATGGCTGCAGCAGGAGTAGAGGGTGAGGTTCAGTGTTCCAACTTTTGTGTTCTGGAAGAGGAGGGACTTGGGGCCAGACACCTGGACCTAAGAGGAATGCCTGGGGGTCTGGACTCCTGGGTTCAAGGAAGAAGGGGCTGGGGGCCTAGAACCTTGGTTCCTGGGGGAGAAGGGGCTGAGGCCTGGACCCCTGGTTCCTGGGGGAGGAGGGGGTGGGACCTGAACCCCTGGGTCCTGGAGAGGGTATAGAAGTCTGAACTCCTGGGTGTGAGGGAGGGGGTGCTGGGGGCCTGGACTCCTGGGTATGAGGGAGGAGGGGCTGGGGGCCTGGACCGCTGGGTCTGAGGGAGGAGGGTTGGGGCTGGACTCCAGAGTCTCCTAGCAGGTGAGTGGGGTAGAAGGTCTGGAGTCCTGAAGGAGGAGGTGGGGCTCAGACCACCTGGATGGTGGTGCTAGAGGACAGTGATGCCCCAGAGCTACTTTCTATCCTTTCCTCTCTGCCTATCCTCCCCCCAGTCCTGAGCCTCCTGTTTTTCTGCATCTACTGGGGTCAGTATGCGACCGATGGCATTGGCAACGAGAGTGTGAAGATCTTGGGTGAGAATGAAGCCGGGTGGGGAGAGGGTGGAGCCCAGGGCTCAGGTCAGGCGTCAGGTCTGAGCTTGGCTCTGAGCCATCCCCTCCTCCCTTCTCCCAGCCAAGCTGCTCTTCTCCTCCAGCTTCCTCATCTTCCTGCTGATGCTCATCCTCCTGGGGAAGGGATTCACAGTGACACGGTGCCCGGGCAGGGTGTGCTCGTGGGGCGGCTGGTGGGGGAGCAGGGCAGGGACAGGGTTGGAGGGGGCGGGTGCATCCTCCTCCCTGACGGCCCCCACCCCTGCTGTCTCCCCCCATGGCCTGCCGCCAGGGGCCGCATCAGCCACGCGGGTTCCGTGAAGTTGTCTGTCTACATGACCCTGTACACGCTCACTCATGTGGTGCTGCTCATCTACGAGGCAGAAGTGAGTCCCACCGGCCCCTGGCCAGGCCCCGCCTTCCCCTGCTTTTGGCACCACCTCCCCCTTGACCTGTCTGCTCGCCCTTGTAGCTCCCGCTGGCTTGCTCTCTCTCCCACTCTTCGATTTTCTGCTTTCCCATCTGTCTAAGTGATTCCTCCTCTCTTCACCATCCCACAGTAGCTTTCTTCCTCCTCCTTCTGTCTCACCGTCTATCACATTTGTGCTCAATATCGTGGCTAAGAGTTCAGGAGTCACACAGACCTGGATTTCACACCGGCTCCCCCACTTCCTAGCTAACCTTGGGTGCCGACCCCGTCTCTGGGCCCATTTTCTTCTTGGAAAATTGGGATGATCTTAACTACCCCTTGGGGCCCCTCTAAGGCTTTCTATCATCTGTATGTATGGCTTTGGTCAAAGGACTTCCCTCTTAGCCTCAGTTTCCTCTTCTGTGAAATGGAGCAATAATAAGACCTACCTCATTGAGTACATGCTGATGGAAAAACTCACACATAGGAGGTATTTAGCCCCATGTTGGGCACACAGTAGCTGATTTATTCTTTTCCTGTCTTTATCACCCTCTCTCTCTGCATCAATATGCTTCTGTCTCCATGCCTGGCTCTCCTGTTGCTTTTGTTCTGACCGAGTACCTCTATTCACAAGTGCCCAGGGGTGGGGTCCAGGGACCCTAATAGGGGGCAGGAGGCCAGGCTGTGATGGACCCTCTCCCGCGGGTCCAGTTCTTTGACCCGGGTCAGGTACTGTACACGTATGAGTCACCGGCTGGCTACGGGCTCATCGGACTGCAGGTGGCGGCCTACGTGTGGTTCTGCTATGCTGTGCTCATCTCGCTGCGCCACTTTCCTGAGAAGCAGCCCTTTTATGTGCCCTTCTTTGCTGCCTATACGCTCTGGTGAGAATTGGTGGGCCCCAGCCTGTCCCTTCCTCCCTCCCGGGGCTCCCCAGAAGTGACTGCTCCCTATCTCAGACCCTCCATAGTGAAGAAGGTAGGCTTGTAACTCAGGCAGCTGTCACTCAGAATCTGTCACTCACGTTGTGAAAAATTACTTTCATAAGAAGTGCATCAGTTTTTTTTTTTTTTTTTTCCCGAGACGGAGTTTCCCTATTGTTACCCAGGCTGGAGTGCAATGGCGTGATCTCGGCTCACCGCAGGCTCTGCCTCCTGGGTTCAAGCAATTCTCCTGCCTCAGCTTCCCGAGTAGCTGGGACTACAGGTGCGTGCCACTATGCCCAGCTAATTTTTGTGTTTTTTTAAGTAGAGACGGGGTTTCACCATGTTGACCAGGATGGTCTCGATCACTTGACCTCGTGATCCATCCGCCTCGGCCTCCCAAAGTGCTGGGATTATAGGCGTGAGCCACTGCGCATGGCCAAGAAGTGCATCAGGTTTACCCATAAAACAACAGGATCGGCTGGGCATGGTGGCTCACTCTTGTAATCCCAGCACTTTGGGAGGCCGAAGCAAGCGGATCACAAGGTCAAGAGATTGAGACCATCCTGACCAACATGATGAAACCCCGTCTCTACTAAAAATACAAAAATTAGCTGGGTGTGGTGGCACGCACCTGTGGTCCCAGCTACTCGGGAGGCTGAGGCGGAAGAATTGCTTGAACACAGGAGGCGGAGGTTGCAGCGAGCCGAGATTGTGCCACTGCACTCCAGCCTGGCAACAGAGCCAGACTCCGTCTCAAACAAAAACAAAAAAGCAAAACAGGATCTCCTCAAAGGGATATCTTGAGCAAGCATAGGCCACTATATGAGGGCCGAGTATCTGGCACATAGTAAATGTTCAGTAAAAACTATTGTAGGCTGGGTGCAGTGGTTTAGCCTATAATCCCAACACTTTGGGAGGCAGGTGGATCACCTGAGATCAGGAGTTCAAGACCAGCTTGGCCAACATGGTGAAACCCTGTCTCTACTAAAAATACAAGAAAATTAGCCAGGCGAGGTGGTGCATGCCTGTAATCTCGAGAGTGGCAGGAGAATCGCTTGAACCTGGGAGGCCGAGGTTTCATTGAGCTGAGATTGTGCCACTTCACTCCAGCCTGGGCAAGAGAGTGAGACTCTGTTTTTAAAAAAAAACACCCAAAACTATTGTAATTATTATTGTTCACCGTAACAGTAATAAATAGGCTGGCAGATTCTGAGCCAGAATGCCTGGATTCAGATCCCAGCTCTAAAGCTTATAGATGATGTGACCTCAGACAAGCCCATTAACGTCTCTCTGTCTCAGTTTCCTTACCTATTAATGGGGATGGAAATTTCATCTGCCTCATAGAGTCACTGTGAGAGTTAAATGAGTTTATCTACATCAAATACTTAGAAACAGGCCTGGCATGCAATATGTCCTTACTTGTTATTATCATTTGTTCATTCATTCATCAAATATCTAGTGATTTCTTATTAGATGCTAGGATCTGGGGTGGTGTGGAACTTAGTTAAATTCAGCCTTGTCCTTGCCCCTCAGAATTCCCCAATCCAGTCCTGCCCCTTTTGCTCTCTGGCTTCTGAAGGTCACACTGGCTTCCCTCCACTTTGGGACCTGCCTGGGGTCTGTGTGTGTACATGGCTGGGGAGGTGGGGCCATACGGTGGGGTGGAGGACAGAAGCAGTGTCTCTTCTGACCCAATATTCCCCTTCAGGTTCTTTGCAGTTCCTGTCATGGCCCTGATTGCCAATTTCGGCATTCCCAAGTGGGCCCGGGAGAAGATTGTCAATGGCATCCAGCTGGGGATCCACTTGTATGCCCATGGCGTGTTCCTGGTAAGGATGGGCATCTTGGAGGGCAGAAGATGCATGAGGCTCCTACATCTGAAGTGCTGGACCTCCTGTTTCGAGATCTGGATCCATTTTCCCTCTAGTCATTCTCCCTGTATGGAAAGCCTGCTGAGTTCCTGCAGCCTCCTCTACTGTGTCCCTCAGAGTCCATAATCTTCTTTTTTTTGAGATGGAGTCTTGCTCTGTCACCCAGGCTGGAGTGCAAGAAACTCAGCTCCTTGCAACTTCTTCCTCCAGGGCTCAAGCAATTCTCCTGCCTCAGCCTCCTGAGTAGCTCGGATTACTGGTGCCCGCCACCACATGCAGCTAATTTTTTGTATTTTTATTAGAGACAGGGTTTCACCATGTTGGTTAGGCAGATCTTGAACTCCTGACCTCAGGTGATCCACCTGCCTCGGCCTTCCAAAGTGCTGGATGACAGGCGTGAGCCACCGCACCTGGCCCATGTCCATTTTCTTCTGTTCCTCTCTCCCACCTTGTGTCCTGGCCTCTTTCCTCAACCCATCCTCTCTCTTTGCCCTCCCTCCCCATTTCCATTCCTGACCCTGTGTCCCCAGATTTTTCCATGTCCCTTCTGTATCCCCACTATCTTCCTCACCTGCCTTGATCTCTACTTCACTCTCCCCTGCCCACCCCACATTCTGCCATCACAGGCCATTGTTCAGGAAGAAGCAGCTTGGGTGGCACAGGGTGAAGCTTTTGGGCTTATGGGTCTGAACAGTGTAGGTAAGAGCTAGGCATCAGGAGGGCCCAGCACCACATCTATTCTTTGCCCTGGTTCACATCCTATCTGACTTTATTGGTGCCAGTTCTAATATTCATTAATTTATTCATCAACTATTCCCTGGGCACCTGTCTTGAACCAGTCTGTTTCATTCTAGGAACATCTGTATGAATTTATTCCTGCCTTCTTGTTTAATTGTTAGAGCAGCTTCAGGAGAGGATAGGTAATTGACATTGTTCCCACTACATAGAGTGGGGAAGCTAAGGCTCAGAGAGGAGAAGTGACATGCCATGGCTCTGTGGCCTTTGGTGGCAGGCAAACACTTTGAACCCCATCCTTCTCCAGCAGACCACAAGGTCTGAAATGAGGGGGGTCCAGAAATGGAAATAGGCATGACTGAGTGTCCCAGCTTCTGACTCCAGGGATCTACAATGTACCTGTGTAGGGAGTGGGCCCAGCCACTGAGGGAGGGGACAGGTCCCCATCCTTTACCTCAGAGCCGGACTTAGGTACGGACTCCCTCACCTTCCCAGACCAGTCCATCCTGAAGCTCTACAGGAAGTCAGAAAGGGACAGGAAGAGGAGAAACACTGAGAACCTGCCATGTGCTGGGCTCTGCATCAGTGGTTTTCATTTCCACCCTCTCATTTTTCCAAGTAGGCGCTACAATCCCTTTTCCCCCAGCGAGGCTCAGGGAGTTTAATCAACATGCCCCAGATCCCACACTCAGTGAGCTACGGATCCCAGAGGTGGCATGCAGGCTCAAAATGGCAAGCGCAGCGCCCTTCCTGCTTTATCTCAGCCAGCTTCCTTCCTAAGGATGCTCGCATTAGCTCAGCACAGCTCCACCTGGGTATCCTACTGCTCATTGCTTTCAGCTCCCTGTTCATTTTTTCAGCACGACCTTAGAGGAGCTGTGTTAGGCTTCCAGGGTGTGGTGATGGAGTCACACCCAGTCCCTGCAGGAATGGCCTGTCAGACTAACTGGTACCAGACATCCCTACATTCCACTAATATTTATTTATTTATTTATTCCAAGATGGAATCTTGCTCTGTTGCCCAGGCTGGAGTGCATGGTGTGATCTTGGCTCACTGCAGCCTCTACCTCCTGGGTTCAAGCAATTCTTCTGCCTCAGCCTCCCCAGTAGCTAGGATTACAGGTGCACCACCACACCTGGCTGATTTTTGCATTTTTAGTAGAGACAGGGTTTCACCATGTTGGCCATGCTGATCTCAAATTCCTGACCTCAGGTGATCCACCCACCTCGGCCTCCCACAGTGTTGGGATTATAGACATGAGCCACCACACCCGGTTAATTTTTGTAATTTTTTTTTTTTTTGATACGGAGTCTTGCTCTGTTGCTCAGACTGGAGTGCAGTGGTGTGATCTCAGCTCACGGCAACCTCCACCTCCCGGGTTCAAGTGATTCTCGTGTCTCAGCCTCTGGAGTAGCTGGGACTTCAGGTGCCTGCTACCACCCTCGGGTAATTTTTTGTATTTTTAGTAGAGATGGGATTTCACTGTGTGAGCCAGGATGGTCTTGATCTCCTGACATCATGATCCGCCCGTCTCTGCCTCCCAAAGTGCCGGGATTACAGGCCACTGTACCCAGCCAATTTTTGTATTTTTAGTAGAGGCGGGGTTTCACTGTGTGAGCCAGGCTGGTCTGGAACTCCCGACCTCGTGATCCACCCTCCTCAGCCTCCCAAACTGCTGAGATTACAAGCATGAGCTACCTTGCCCGGCCCACCAATATTTATTGAAGGCCAATATGTGCCAGGCATAGTTGTAGAAGGTACCGGGGACTCAGTAGGGAACAGAAAAGTCTGGTTCCTGCCTCATCGAGGCATTCTAGAATCTATTAGTTGCTGTCCAATTGAACTTTCTGTATTTATGAAAATATTCTATTATCTGCACTTTCCAATATGGAAACTACTAATCATATGCGGCTGTTGAGCACTTGAAGGTGGGTAGTGTGTAATGAGTGTGTAGTGGGGAGTGTGACTGACAAACCAGAGTTTAAATTTAATTTTGATTAAATTTAAGCCACATGCAGCCAGTGGCTATCATGCAGTGCAGGACACTGACCCTAACCAATCACTGATGGTGATAGTTCATCATCATCAGTGATCAGGGCTCTGATGGAGGAAGCACTGGCAGAGTTGTGTTGAAGGGAAAAGGTCAGGGTCCAGAGCCCACAGGAGGCGCCTAATCCAGTCTGAATGGCTTCAGGGAAGTGTGGGGGGATGTCAACTGAAAGGGAATCCTTTGAACCCCAAGTTTATGGGGACAGCTTCGGGCCAGACAGTGCCTCTCACACCTGCTCCTGGCCCTGGACTCAGATCATGACCCGCCCGTCAGCGGCCAACAAGAACTTCCCGTACCACGTGCGCACGTCGCAGATCGCGTCAGCCGGAGTCCCCGGACCGGGAGGGAGCCAGTCGGCGGACAAGGCCTTCCCGCAGCATGTCTATGGGAATGTGACGTTCATCAGCGACTCGGTGCCCAACTTCACGGAGCTCTTCTCCATTCCCCCGCCCGCCTCCTCCGTAAGCCCCGCGGCCCCAGCGCCCGAGGAGCTGCTGGCGCCGCCCCTGGAGTACCTGACCCCGCTCCCGGCCCCGCCGCCGCTCCCAGCGCCCCGGCGCCTGAGCCCGCCCCCTGCCTTTCGCACGCCCCGCGCCCCAACACCGCGTCGCGACCGTCCCCCGGCGCCTGCGCCCACCCTGCCCGACTGGGTCCTGGCGCTGTTGCGCACGCCCCCGCAGACGCCCTGTGTCTTGCCCCCACCGCCCGCCTTCCGCGGCTCTCCCCCAGCTCCCCGGCCGCCGCGGGAGTTCGCCCCGCGCGCCCCGACGCCGCCCTTTGAGTACCTGGCCCCGTTGCCCAGGCGCCCCGCCACCCAGTCCTTCCCTGACTGACACGTGCGTCCACACCTGGGTGGAAGGGTTCTCAAGGGGAGGGGGACGGGTCTTCGGGGCCGCATCTGCCCCCCCGAGGGTCCTGGACGGCCTCTGACCCTGACCCCCCTCCCAGGCCGGGAAGCAGGTGGAGGAGACCGCGGTAGCGGCGGCAGTGGCCCCGAGGGGCCGCGTGGTGACCATGGCCGAGCCGGGCGCAGCCTCCCCGCCCCCTCCCGCTCGGTTCCCCAAGGCTGCCGACCCGGGATGGGACGGCCCGACGCCGCCCTACCAGCCGCTCGTGCCTCAGACGGCGGCGCCGCACACCGGCTTCACCGAATACTTCAGCATGCACACGGCCGGGGGCACTGCACCCCCGGTCTGAGCACCCCTGCCTGCCCCTGCCCCATGGGCCGCGCACCGGGCCCCGGCCGGGCTCCGGACCCCTGCTTTATCCCGGCCCGAGAGCTTGGCTATCCCGGGCCTTCCCGACCCTTTCCACCTCCCGCGCCCGGGTTGGGTGCGCTGCGTCCCGCCCCCCTCCTCTGGTGCCAAACAGTCCCGCGGGAGCCGCTCTCCCGTCCACTCCCTCAGCCCCTGCCCCGAGCGGCGCCGGATTCTGGGCTCCCGCTGTTCCGTGACCTCCGGCCCCCTGACCCCCTTCGAGACTTCTGACCCCGCTGGACTCCGAAACACCCGTGGTGACCGCCGGGACCCTGCCTGTGACTCTCCAGGACTCTGCGACCCCGGGATGGATATTGCGATGCTGGTCTCCACCCTGAAACTCTCCCTTGGATCTGTTACCTCGGACCCGTGCTCCGTCCGCCCCTATCTCCATTCCCGAGGCCTTCCCTCGGGTCTGTGGCAGAAAGACATTTTCCCCCTTCTTGCCAAAATAAAGATTCATTGAGTTTTTATTTATAACATGGTTTTTTTACATTGAGGGTGATCGGCAGCAGGGCTGAGCCAGACCATGTCAGGCTCGGGACCTCAGTGTGTCCATCTGTGAAATGGAAATTTGGGACCGGGCGCAGGGACCTGTATAACCTGATCTTTATAAACTGATCTTCAATCTGGGAACATCGAAGATGATAGAGCAGGGTCTCCTTGCACCGCTCCTTTATTTTTGCCTTCCCTTCCTCACTCAGAGGTAGATGCGCCCTCCAGTGGCCCATGTTTTGCTCAACTGCAGGCACCCAGAGTTTGGGTTACGATCTTAGCACTGCGCATGTGTGATTCTCCCCGGGCAGGCCCAGAAGGTCGCTGCTGCGCATGCGGCTCGGAACAAATTGGGCGGAGAATTTCCCCGGAAGTCTCCCTTTATGGAGGGTTGGGGTTGGACTCTCCGCAGTCCTCCTAGGGCCGCTCTGACCCGCCGCTCTGCAATTTCTCGTCTCCTCTCCGCCTTCCCTCCCACAGCTGCTGCTCGGCTCCCGCCCCCACGGGCTCGTACAGCGGGTCTTCCCGCGGCCGCTCTGGCCCAAGCGTCCCGTCGTCTCTCTGATCTGGCCCATCGGCCCGGGAGGGAGGCGCGGGTGGGTGAGCAAAGGGACTGCGTCTATGGGGTCCAGGCCCGAGCCCCTGAAGACTGGCTCCGCCCCCGGCATCCGCTCGCGCCCCGCCCCCGGCTGGAGGAGTCTCTCCTGGACCATCCGAGCCTTGCCTGGTCCCGGCCTGCATCCTCTATGTAGGCTCCTGCCAGGCCGTAGAACCCTTCGCCCCCTGGGGACCCACCCGTCTGTAAGGTCCATTTGGCCTGCAGCGGCCTGAGTCTGTAACTGCTGGACACTATTTATGGAGTCGGCCCCCTATGGGGGCCTGTGTCTATAGGGACCCCCACCGTCCCTAGCGGTCGGCTCCGTCCATAATGACTCCATATACAGGGCCTTCCATCGCTCTGTAGGGCCCAGCCCTCGGCTTCCAGAGCCTATCAACAGCGGCCATTCCCTTTGCCTGGACTGCGTCTCCTGGACCTCTTCGGTCTACAAGGCCATGCTATGCCTATAGAGGTCGCATTTGCAGGGCCTTACTCCGGGTAGAGGGTCCTCTCCAGGTTTTTACGGCCCATCCCGGCTCTAAGGGTCAGTGCAGGAGGCGGCGATGGCCCTGGGCAAGGCTCTGGCCACGGCACTGGCTTTGGCCTTGGCTGTGCTGGGGTCGCTGTCCCCTGGGGCCTGGGCGGGGGACTGCAAGGGGCAGCGGCAGGTGCTGCGGGAGGCGCCAGGCTTCGTGACGGATGGTGCGGGCAACTACAGCGTCAATGGCAACTGCGAGTGGCTCATCGAGGGTGAGTGGGGCCGCGTGGGTCACTCACTAATTCCTGCTGGTTTATTCATGTATGCCTTCATCCACTGACCACATTCCCAGAGTTCTGTTCTGGTCCAGGCCTTTTGCTCTAAAATGCCTGACATCCAGGGTTGCAGCCAACCTGGGGCTTGCCCTGGAGAGCCTCCAAGTCTAGTGACTTGGAGGCCTTGGCTGGGGTGGCATCGCTGTCCCCTGGGGCCCTGGCGGGGGACTGCAAGGGGCATCTGGAGATGCACATACACCCAGATGGACAGTTACAAGCCAGGAGCATCAGTGCTGGGTCTTCTGAGTAATTGTTAAGAACTCAATGTCTGAGTCCAACCTGGCATTGAATTTGGTTCAACAACTACTTCTTTTTCTTTTCTTTTTTTTTTTTGAGATTAGGGTCTCACTGTCACCCAGGCTGGAGTGCAATGGTACTAACACAATTTACATACTGTAGCCTTGATCTCTTGGGCTCAAGTGATCCTCCCACCTCAGCCTCCCAAGTAACTGAGTTTGTAGAGACAGAGTCTCACCATGTTGCCCAGGCTAGTCTCAAACTGCTGGGCTCAAATGCTCCCCCCACCTCAGCCTCCCAAAGTGTTGGGATTGTAGGCATGAGCCATTGTGCCTGGCTTCTTATTGTTATTAGCTTTGAGACTTTGAGCAGGTGGCTTCCTTTCTCTGAGGTTCAGCTTCCTTCCCCCACAAAATGGGATAACAACAGTACTCTCACCTCACAGGGTTGTTGGAATGAAATAAAAACGTATTTAACGTGCCTGATGTGCATATAGTAACTGTTCAATAAATGGCATTAGGATTATTATTGTTGTTATTTGTAAAATACTTCAATAAAAGCATTTTTCTTCAGTCATTTATATGCCAGACATTATGTTTCCCATTGGACAGAGCCCAGACTGAGACAGCTCCAACAATCCCTGGTGACTTAGGTCTTGGAGTCCAGCTGGGGAGACAAACACTTTAATAGTGAGAGCCAAGAATGGTCTGTGAAGGAGGAATCCCACAGGCCTGGGAGAGCCCAGAGAAAGTGCCTGATCTGGGCTGGGGGAGGACAGAGAGAGGCTTCCTGGAGGAGGAAACGTCTAAACTGAGACCTAAAGGACCGATAGGAATCTGTCAGGAGCAGGAGGAGAAGCCCCAGCCCTACCCTTCTGGGCTCCCAGTCAGTGGGAGAGACAAACCCACTTCCAGGCTGTTTGTTTTCCTTTTCTACCCAATAAACTATGCATGCTTCAGAACCCTACCTCAGTGGCGCCTTCTCTGTGAAGACATGTGACTTAACCCGAGGTGTAGCTGAGATTAGAGGTGTCTGTAGGAGGGAGCAGAAGGGCATTCCAGACAAGAATGGCCGTGCAAAGATGGGAAGCGGGATAGTGATGCTTGCTTCTGAAGAACTAGAAAGCCAAGGTGTTAGAACATAGAATACTGGCAGGCATGGTGGCTCACGCCTGTAGTCCTAGCACTTTGGGAGGCCGAGGCCTCCAGTGGATCACCTGAAGTCAGGAGTTCAAGACCAGCCTGGACAATGTGGTGAAACCCCGTCTCTACTAAAAATACAAAAATTATCTGGGCGTGATGGCACATCTCTGTAGTTCCGACTTCTCAGGAGGCTGAGGCACAAGAATCGCTTGAACCTGAAGGTTTCAGTGAATTGATATTGTGTCACTACACTCCAGTCTGGGCAGCAGAGCAAGACTCCATGTTAAAAACAAAAACAAAAACGTAAAGACAGAATACAAGACGACCAATGAGCCAGATGCTGCAGGGTGGGAGGAGCCAGCATTTGTAGGGTTTTGTGATTTTGAGCTGTATCCTGAGGGCAATAGATGGGTGGAAGAGAAGTTGAAAGGCAGTCCCTGGAGAAGTCCTGGAAGGCCTCACAGAGTAGCGGATGTAGAAGCTGGCCTCCAGACAGGGAGGTCCTGAGCAAAGGCCAGAGGCATGAAAGGGCCTGGGTCATGCAGGGCCTCCCTTGGCAGCCTGTGGAGCTTCGTCTTTGTCTGGGGGCTCTGGGGAACCATGGAAGAGTTTTGATCAGGAAGAGGACATGATCTGATTTATGTGTTAGAAGATCTCTCTGGCTGCTGTGTAGGGTATGGATGAAGGCATGTTTCTCTGTGTGAGCATGTCTACCTGTCAAGCTAGTGGGATGAGAACAGAGTAGGAAGAGAGAGAGAGAGAGAGAGAGAGAGAGAGAGAGAGAAAGAGAGTGTGTGTGTGTGTGTGTGTGTGTGTGTGTGAGACAAAGGCGTGCTGGATATAAATTGCTCTCTGGGCTGAGTGCGGTGGCTTACGCCTGTAATCCCAGCACTTTGGGAGGCCAAGGCAGGCGCATCACCTGAGGTCAGGAGATCAAGACCATCCTGGCTAACATGATGAAATCCTGTCTCTACTAAAAATACAAAAAATTAGCCAGGTGTGCTGGCACGTACCTATAGTCCTGCTACTCAGGAGGCTGAGGCAGGAGAATCGCTTGAACCTGGAGTACAGCTGAGATCATGCCACTGTACTCAAGCCTGGGTGACAGAGCAAGACTCTGTCTCAAAAAGAAAAAAAAAATTATGGCTGGGCACGGTGGCTCACGCCTGTAATCCCAGCACTTTGGGAGACCGAGGTGGGTGGATGACGAAGTCAAGAGATTGAGACCATCCTGGCCAATACGGTGAAACCCTGTCTCTACTAAAAGTACAAAAATTAGCTGGGCGTGGTGGCGTGTGCCTGTAGTCCCAGTGACTCGGGGGGCTGAGGCAGGAGAATTGCTTAAACCTGGGAGGTGGAGGTTGCAGTGAGCCGAGATCGCGCCACTGCACTCCATCCTGGCGCCTGGTGATGGAATGAGACTCAAAAAAAAAAAAAAAAATTACTCTCTAGCCTTAAAGAGCCTCAGACTGGTTAGGCGGGAACGGTGGCTCACGCCTGTAATCCTAGCACTTTGGAAGGCTAAGGCAGGTGGATCAGCTGACATTAGGAGTTGGAGACCAGCCTGGTCAACATGGAGAAACACCGCCTCTGCTAAAAATGCAAAAATTAACTTGGCATAGTGGCGCACGCCTGTGATCCCAGCTACTCAGGAGGCTGAGGCAGGAGAATTGCTTGAACCTGGAGGCGGAGGTTGCAGTTAACTGAGTTGCACCACTGCACTACAGCCTGGGTGACAGAATGAGACTCCATCTCAAACAAAAAAAAGAGTCTCATTCCCACCGGTTAAGAATGGTGGAGCTGGTCACAGATATTCAGCCCCCAGTGTGTTCACTGGGACAGTGTCCAGGGCCGAAAAGGGACGTGCAGGGGTTGGGTGGATGTACTTAGGGAAGAAAGAGGACTGTGCTGGAGGTCACAGAGGAGGAGCCACTGAAACAGGGTTCTGAAGCATGCAAAGGAGTTTATTGAGTGGAGAAAGGGAACAAACAGCCTCTATGAAGACATGAGGGTGGCTGGGGTGTCTCAGGATCCCTGTCTGCTTGTCTGGTCTGGTGACACTTTTGACTGGGATTGGGAGGTAATGAGAGCCAGAAGCAGGGGAAGAGGGGCCTTGAATGTCACTCAGAGCAGCCTGGCCTTCCCCTTGGGGTTAATGGGGAGCCATGGAAGGTTTTGAGCAGGAGTAGGGCATT